CATGCATTTAAGAAAACTGGTTTTCTATTGTTGGTGATGAATTTGCAGTTATCCAATGTAATTAGGACATACTTAAATAGTTCAAGGTGAACTTTCTGTTAGTTAGTCGCGGACCAAATCTTGTTAAATACAGTTGCTTAACTTGTGCATACATCGTTTGTTTTATTTTAATAGCTGCTAAAAAGGTGACCCCGACGTGATCGTATCACGCGATTTTTTCGTTTGTTTCCGGCCGCTTACTGAGATAATTCTGCCACACTAGTGTAAACGTCAGCAACTTCGTCATGCCAGGGGAAGGTGCAGATCGAGTAGCCTTTCTAAAGCTGAAAACAAAGGCCATATTCAGCAGACTGGAGAGCTTGATTAACGAGTTGGACGCAGACAAGCTACACAGTATGGATGAGTACAGTCTTTCAGCAATGCTAGAATCCTTAGGCGAATTGAAATCCAGTTTTTCTGCCGCACACACAAGCCTAGAGGAATTGGACTTCGACTCCATTGCCAGCGACCTGCCAAGTAACTTCGATGCTGCTCTAATCAACCTTAGAGCTACACTGCAACGCGAGATTGGTAAACGTAGTGCCTCGCAACATTGCTCCACGCTCAGAATGAACTCCAGTGAGACCCAATCAATCATTGTGAACGCTAATAGCTCACGCTTGCCATTGCTGACACTGCCTAGATTCAGTGGCGCCTACACCGAGTGGACAAATTTCTATTCAATGTTCACGTCAATAATCGACAAGGACAGCGACCTCACCAACATCGACAAATTGCAGCATCTTCGTTCCTGTCTGAGCGGCGCTGCCCTTGACACCGTGCGCTCGCTGGAAATAAACGACGCTAATTATAACACTGCATTAGATCTTTTACAAAAGCGCTTCGATAACAAACGTCTTATATTTCAGGCACACGTCAGGGAGATATTTGAGCTAGAGAGGGCAGATTCAAACGTAACCAAGCTACGAGAGCTGACAGATAAGGTCACAGCACACATACGCGCATTGCAGTCGCTCGCATCCAATGGGAAGATCGCAGATGGCATCATCGTACAATTGGTGATCCAGAAACTCGACAAAAAGACGCAAGCTAAATGGGAGGAGAGTTCATCGATCAGCGAACTGCCATCCTGGGATCAATTAGCTATGTTCTTGGAGAAGCGCTGCAGAACACTCGAGAACGTTGAGCATTCTATGCAGACACCGACTGGTCAGGCGGTAAAAGCTAACAAGAACGTGAGTACTGGTCAGAGGAAATCCTTTGTTGCTTCCAACGGCTCAAAAGGTGTTTGTGTGTTTTGTGGATCTGCCGAGCATGCAATTTATAGCTGTCAACGCTTCGCAAATTTGTCTCCGAACTTACGCCTGAGGGAAGTTAAGAAGCTTTCCCTTTGTCTTAACTGCCTAAAGACTGGGCATCAAATTCGTGACTGCAAATCCGGATCGTGCCGCGCCTGTCAGTCGAAACACCACACGCTCTTGCATTTCGAACGCTCAACTGCATCGTTAATCAATAGTCAAGCCGAAGCTTCGTCGGCAGCTACAGTTCAATCCAACGCTATGACTGCATCGTTATCTGTGTCGCCTAGTGCCCCAGTATCTCCTTCTGATGCTGTGTTCCTAGCTACTGCCGTCGTTCTGGTAAAAAATCGTGCTGGAAGCTTCGTGCCTTGCAGGGCGCTTTTAGATTCTGGCTCCCAGTTACACTTTGTCACAACTCGCCTTGCAAACCAATTGCAGCTTGTAAAAGCAAAATCTTCTGCTACAGTATCTGGCATTGGAGATGCCAATTTCTCAACGGAGGGTTACTCAGTCGACCTCGTACTGAAGTCGCGGACTTCAGATTTCTCAACAAACATAACAGCTGTTGTTGTGCAAACCATAACCGACAACCAGCCTGGCTGCTCCGTGAGCACCAACGAGTGGAATGTTCCGTCGAATATACAACTAGCTGATCCTGGGTTCAACTTACCGCAGCGAATTGATCTGCTCATTGGAGCAGCATTGTTCTTCGATCTGCTATGTGTGGGGCAGATACGCTTGGCATACGGTTTACCACTCCTTCAGAAAACACGCCTCGGTTGGGTGCTATCTGGAGGGGGGCAACAAGCTCCAAAACTATCATCTTTTGTAGTGCGACGGAAATCCTCCAGTGATATTATTTCCACTCGGTTGGAAGATTTAGTGCGTCAGTTCTGGGAAATAGAGCACAACTTCGAGCCGATCTCTAAGGCCTCCCAAGAAGATATCGACTGCGAAGCCCACTTCCGGGAAAATTATTTGCGATTGTCATCAGGCGAATACTCAGTTCGTCTTCCCATGAAGCGTGGTGTGGAGGCCCTTGGAGACTCCTATTTGCAAGCTCGTCAAAGCTTCGAAAGTCTTGAACGAAAATTCGCTCGTAACCCTGAGCTTAAAACAGAATATAGTAAGTTCATAAAGGAATATCTGGACCTTAATCACATGTCGCTAGTTACCAATGAGGTTTTTCAACAATGCAAATATTTTCTGCCGCATCATTGCGTCATCAAGGATGACAGTAGCACAACAAAGCTGAGAGTGGTTTTTGATGGCTCTGCATCCACTACTTCGGGCTTTGCGCTGAACGACCTACTCATGGCAGGCCCAACTATTCAGCCGAAACTTTTTAATATCCTTATTAGATTTCGTACTTTTCCCATAGCACTTACTGGGGACATCTGTAAGATGTATAGGTGTGTTCGCGTCACCCCACCAGATAGCATGCTCCAATGCATATTGTGGCGTGAATCTCCTCAGGAAAACTTTGCCATCTATAAGTTAGACACGCTGACTTATGGAACTAAGCCTGCGTCATTTCTGGACATGCGTGCCATGCACCAACTCGCAGCTGACGAATCCTCGACTTACGCCATTGGTGCAGAAATAGTGCGTCGAGACTTCTACGTAGATGACTTGATTTCTGGAGGCGATTCGATGGAAGAAGTACTGAATATCAAGCTACAAACAACTAGCCTCCTTGCTCGAGGAAACTTTAAGTTACGCAAGTGGTGCTCTAATAGTCCAGATATCCTTCGTGATATACCTGACGTAGACAAGGAACGTTTCCTTAAGTTTGACGATGGCAGTGACATCACCAAAGCTCTGGGACTAGTTTGGGATCCGGTCAAGGACAAGCTGCTATTTTCGTTTGTGCCACAACGAAAACTCGGTAAAAACTCAAAACGCTCTGCGTTGTCTACTCTAGCTCGCTGTTACGATCCCCTTGGACTAATGGGCCCTACGCTGACCAAGGCGAAGATTCTTCTGCAACGCATGTGGAGAGACAAGCTTGAGTGGGATGAGAGTCTACCGCAATCGTTAAACACCGCCTGGTCTGCCTTTTGCAGCGGGTTTGCAGACATACAGCACCTATCATTTCCTCGTTACGTCTTGCAACCTGGGGCCATTACAGAAATTCATGCATTTTGCGATGCAAGCCTTGAAGCTTATGGGGCTTGCGTTTATACGCGTTCAGCCAAGGATAGTAAGGTACAAGTGCACCTGTTGTGTTCGAAGGCCCGTGTCGCTCCACTGAAGACTATCACCGTGCCCAAGCTGGAACTCTGTGCAGCAACACTGCTGGCACAACTCATGGGTGAGTTTACAAAAATGAAGCTTTTTAACTGTTCATTTCATTGTTGGTCAGATTCCTCCACTGTCCTCTCGTGGCTGCGAGAAGAACCATCGAAATTTAACGTATTTGTCGCTAACCGAATTTCCACCATACATCAACTAACGGAGGGCATGCGGTGGCACTATGTTCCGACAGCAATGAATCCGGCGGACATTTTATCCAAAGGAGCTACCCCGCAGGAACTTCTAAAATCTTCACTTTGGATGCACGGCCCGTCATTTTTGCGAGAAGTGGATGGCAGCTGGCCGCGCATGTGTCTACCACAACCAAAACTTCCAGAACTTCGACAAAAGGTGTTGCTTGCCGCACATAACCGCAATGACATTTCGCTTTCGTTCAAGTACATTAATTCATTTGGAACAATGCAGCGCATTTTTGGGTACGTCAGCAAATTTGTCAATATTACAACATCGCCAAGCTCTTCGCAGCTCACAGCCGCAGATATTCACCATGGAACTCAACTGCTTATTCGCTTAGTACAAAGGGCGCAACTTTGGCCGGAGTACACGGCATTACAGGCCAATAATTGCGTCCCGAGTTCGAGCAGCATTGTTTCGCTATCACCATTTCTTGATGACTTTGGAATTATTAGAGTCGGCGGGCGATTAAAAAACTCTATGCTTAGTTTTGAATCGCGCCACCCATGCATTATTCCGAAGGATCATCCACTGACATTTAGTATAATAACCTTTTTTCATCGCAAACAACATCACGCAGGTCCTCAAGCTTTACTCGCCTTCATTCGAATGCAGTTTTGGCCCATAGGTGGTCGGAAAACAGTCACTCGAGTACTACAAAAATTCATTATTTGCTGCAAATCGAGACCGCGCCTTGTCGAGCACATAATGGCCGACCTGCCTAAAGAGCGAATTCAGGCCTCGCGCCCATTCATAGTCACCGGTGTGGACTACTGTGGGCCATTTTATTACAAGCCTGAAGTACGCAATAAATCGCCCCACAAATGTTATGTAAGCGTTTTCATTTGCTTCGCCACAAAGGCTGTATGGATGGAGTTGGTAAGAGACCTCTCAACAGGTGCTTTCATTGACGCGCTAAAACGATTCATCGCTACGCGTGGCATACCCAGCTGCATCTGGTCTGACAATGCGACGAATTTTGTAGGCGCCAAGAACGAGCTTAAAGAACTACGGAACTTAGCCCTCAGCGAGAAACACCGCAGCGAAGTCCACAACTTTTGCCTCAGTAATGGCTTTGATTGGCGTTTCATCCCACCTCGCTCTCCGCACTTTGGCGGTTTGTGGGAAGCGGCCGTAAAAACAGCCAAACAACATTTCTATCGTTCCGTTGGCTCATCACTGCTTGGCTTCGATGAATTGCGTACTTTGGTATGTCAAATCTGTGCTGTAATTAACTCTCGTCCTCTCGTACCCCTTTCAGAAAACCCAGAGGATTTAGATGTGCTAACGCCAGGCCATTTTTTGATTGGTGGTTCTCTGACAGCTCTTCCGGAACCGGATCTAACGACGCTAAACTACGACCGACTTGATCGATGGCAGCGTGCAGCATACATTAAACAGGTTTTTTGGAAGCGGTGGACTCAAGAGTATCTAACTCTTCTACAGCAACGCGCAAAGTGGCGTTTACCTCATGCCAACATTCAAGTCAATGATGTCGTATGCATAAAGGAAGAAAACTCACCACCACTGAAGTGGCCTCTAGCACGGGTAATCGAAGTTGTCCCTGGAGCAGACGGTGTCGTACGTGTGGCACTTTTAAAAACATCTAGCGGCATAACGCGACGAGCCGTGAACAAGCTGTGTGTCCTCCCGGTGAAGGATTCTGTTGAAAGCCCTGACCTTTCAACGGGGGGGGAGGATGTTCGGAGCAGCAGCGGATAAGCCAGCAACATAAAATATGTTTATCAAAATCAATATGAATAACGTTATCTGATCACACTGAAATTTTCATACTCAATTGAGCTGCATATTTACTTGTATGTATTTAAACTGTGCTAATTTTGTTTC